CTTGGAAAGTTTAGCATCTTGATCTTGAACGCGCTTTGATAAGCTTTCAATTATTTTCGTCAAATTTGTAAGTTGTTCTTCTACAGTAGAAGCTTCAATAACTGTTGCTTGCATGATCGCCGTACAGGATGAAGAATAATATAGATCATTGTTGGGATAGAGCTTAAAGATCGCATTAATGGAGAGTAGAGGAGATCCAACACACAAGTCATCATCATCGGCTTGCACGAAAGGTTTCTTGGACTTTGATAAACTAAGTTGAGCAAGAACCTCTTTGATCCTTTCGGCAACATCGTTCCCTTTTTGGGTCGCGCTTGTAGAGGATCTTGATCCTTTTGAGGATGAAGATCTGAAAATAGGGGTTGATGCGGATGACACTTGGAGTGTTTGTTGTCCTAAAGAGTTTGCTTTGCTTTTTATAACTAGCCCAAAGCTTTCAAAGGAAATATCGAGAATGCTTTCTACATCAGTATAAAACTTGAAATTAGCAGTCTTAGTGGATGTTGATCTGGAGTTGATTTTCTTTAAAGCCATTTCGATTTTCTTTAAGCTTTGGTGATTGAAAAGTTGAGATGAGAGGTAGAGATTGTCCACTGACCGTGCCAGAATTTGTAACAATAAATTGCGTCGAGGAAATAAAATCAAGACCGAAAAATATTAAAATAATTATAGTATTTTATTTCAAACAATATGAGTGTACAATCTTTATGAATCCTCTGATTTTTCTTTCCAACATTAAATAAAAGAGTCTTTGAGCTTAATCTTGAATTTTATTTTACTTTAATCCAAGTGCTTGAGGTCTGATCTTGATCTTGACATATTTTTAATCCAAGGGCTTGCAGCTTGTTCTTGAATCTTCGTCTTGATCTTTGAATCCTTAAAACACTTGAATGCTTGTAGCTTTTAGAGAAATCAGCAACGTTTGATCCACGAGCTCTCTCTTGCTTCTTGTTATTACTTCTGGTGTCTTTTTTGGGTTATGAAGACTCCTATTTATAGTTGTGGAAGGGAAGAGTTATAATAAAAAAAACTTTGTCCGGCCAATCAAATTGAAGTATGACAATGCCGCATTTGATTGACCAGATAACGTCACTTGCACACGTGGTGCGGTTTCATTGGCCTTTTTAATTTGGCTTGGGCCTTGTCTTTTTGACACGTAGCACGATCTGATTGGATCTTTCGTTTGACTTGGCGTGCCACGTCATGTGACACGTGGTACCAAATTGGGCCTCTAGGAAAATGATATTTTGGGCTTAATGAAATGGACTCATCACTTTAGCCCAATTAAATGGGCTAGCCTAACGGATTAAGACTTATTTATTTAATCCATATATATTGGACTTATATAATTAATTCAATTATATTATCCCATAATATTTATTTGAACCAATATATCTTGAGTTTAAAATATAATTCAAATTATTTTATAATTTTAATAAAATTTATATGCCTACGGTATCCACTGTATATCTTTATACTCCATTGATCATGGATCTCTGCCAAATGTCATATTTGATGGTTACATGTACGAAAATCAAGGGAATAAATTATAAAAATGAGAAGGAGAGATTTGTATAGTAGTCAGCATGTGACAACCATCTGCTATACTTACTCGCATCCGATACGAATCATAATAATTTATCATGTGGTTAAATTATAAATTAAAATGAGAATGTGTATTAATTAATATAGTTTAATAATAACAACAACAACAATAACAAAACAACAATAATAATCATCCAGTATAATTCTACTAGTGGGATCTAGGGAGGGTAGTGTGTACGCAGACCTTACCTCTACCATGGGCAGAGAGGTTGTTTCCAAATAAACTCTCGACATCTTTCCCTCCAAGAATTCCGCACTTTGCTCTTGGGGTGACTCGAACTCACAACCTCTTGGTGAAAGTAGAGGTTGCTTACCATCAGAGTTCAATAATAACAGTGTATATAAAAACATATGACGTAGTTATTCGATTATTATAAACATGTGTACGGATAAGTTTTTACTAATATTACTTGCTTATAATTAGGACAGCAAGGTCACGTGTTTGTTAATGGGGAATTTCTTCGTAATGTGATATACTTCAATCAGTATTTTTGTGAATGTTCTTTTAATAGATCCCGACGCATTTATTATTGCTTTTATCGATGTTAAAAAGGATCAAAAAGAGATTAAGAATATATGGAGCTTTATTGTTTGGTGAAGGAAGGGAAAAGAAAACTGAAAAGGGCCATATGTACCCGTGAACTATGCGAATTAGGACAGATATGTCTGTCGTTAATAGTTTGGCATATATATGCCTAATCCGTCCAATACTTGGTCATTCATGCCCTTAGTTTAACAGAACCACTATTTTGTCTTTCTTAAATAATTAATAACCGGATCCAACTAAAATATGTTGACCCGATCCGTTAAGACCCGACCCACCCTTATTTCAAAGATATTTTTTGATATATTATTTTTGTTGATTGAGAAATTGTGTGATAATCATATTTTTTTATTTGAATAATTTGATAATCGACTTTTTTTTGTTATACATCATTTCGGGAAGTAATCCTACTAAAAGTAGTAATTGATATTTATTTATTATTTTAATAATATAATATTCGAATTTTGTGGGCTTTCTTCAATCATTTTACCATCTATTTTTATTTTTCTCACAATTTATTAATATTTTTCTCCAATCCATTTTTATTAGTTAATTAATTCATAAATAAAAATACACAGCCAATCCTGTATCAATCAGAACAAACTGTAAGTGTTTATTTCATGTCTATTGCGTCTCAATTATGACTAGCCAATCATGTAGGAGAATTTATTCATCCACTGGTTTGATTGCAGCAACGTTCACGAAAACAAATTGAATGGAACGATTCCACCTGCCTTTCAGAAGCTCGAAAGCATGACATATCTGTAAGTTCTTACTCTCTGGTTTAACGTCAACAGCTTTAAACGGTGTATTTTTATTTATAAAATTAACTAATTAATAAAAACGAATTGGTGAAAAATAAAAATAGATGGTAAAATGATTGAAGAAAGCACAAACTAATTCCAATATTTTAGTAGGATTACTTCCCGAAATAATGTATAACAAAAAAATCAATATTCAAATTACTCAAATAAATAAATATGATTATCACACAATTTTTCAATCAAACAAAAATAATATATCAAAAAATATCTTTGAAATAAGGGTGGCTCGGGTCTTAACGGATTGGGTCAGCAGATTTTAGTTGGATCTGGTTATTAATTATTTAAAAAAGACAAAATAGTGGTTCCGTTAAACTAAGGCAAAAATGATCAAGTATTGGACGGATTAGGCATATATGTGCCAAACTATCAACGACGAGCATATCTGTCCTATTTCGCATAGTTTACTAGCATATATAGCCCTTTTCCGAAAAGAAAAACAAGGGGAGAATAGAAGGGTAAGGAGAAAGGTGAAAAAATATAGTTTGTGTACTTGGTTTTTATTAGTTGGAGAAGTAAAAATGAGGAGAGAAAAACATAAAGAGAAATCGCAATAATTTACCAATTTATTCTTTGTGAAAAGTAAAAAATAATTTAATACTCCCTTCGCGGCCAATTTATGTATCACAATTCGGGTTTTGAGTGTGAAGCTTCTTACTTTTAACCGTGAATTTGGACGTAAAATCTTGAAGTTTTTCGAAATAAAATTTACGTATTTGAAAACTACATAAAAACTACTTTAAGTCATAATAACTAACAATTTAAAATATTTAAAAGGCATATAAAAATTCTGATTAATGAAAAACTCATGTGATGCTAGACACCGCCACATAAATTAAAATAGAGGAAGTAAACTTGATTGGTAACACTTGCATAATTGGAGGTCGTCAAGTATCTCAGAAAAAATTTTAATAACGTTTTCAGCGTTAAATTAAGTATATATAAACCAATCTTCTAACCATTTTTTGCTCTATCACTTACTACCTTTTCTCAAAATCAATATTTATCATGGAACATTATTTATCAATACTTTCTTAATGGGGGGATTTTATAAATAATTTTTCACATCATCAAATATAAAACGTGATAGGGAGGGAGAAAAAAAAAAAACATTAGTGGCATGTGATAAAAGCAGAAAGAAAGTGCGAACATGCCAAATGCTACGCCGTTGCAGGAGCTTTCGCCGACTTTGGTGCTGCTCTTTCTTCTTTCAATTTTTAAAAAATAATAATTAGTGTATTTACTTATTGATAATTTAAATAATTTAAGGATGAGTACCTTAATAATACAGGTCTATAAATTCAGGTATTTCATTAAGAGTGAAAAGCACCATTAACACACTCTTAAATATTCTACTCTTCGATTATCTCTAAACCAAGTTTAATTTGTGTGAACATGGCAGCAGGAGGACGTCCACCACTCAGCCTCACTTTTTTCTTAATTGCGCTCTTTGTTACAACTAATGGTTCATAGTATTACTATATATTTTTCTCTCGTTTTTTAAAAATTAAATACTTGTATGCATGTGTATAATTCTAATATTTGTTATGTTTACTATGTGCAGTTAATTTCACTTGGTTACAAGTGATGGCGTTACGAGAAGTACCCCAGGAGATTGCAGTGGTCAAAAGAAATTTGATTTCAATAAACTTGCACTTAATAACTTGTTTAACCCGTTGTTCTACTGATAGTGATTGGAGTGATAGTTGGCTTTGTACAGATTGTGTCCCTTCTAAGTATTCGGGATATTGGAATGCGCGATGTCGACTAACATGAGAAGAAAGCAGAAGAAATAAGAAAAATTGAGAACCAGGCCTTACGCCATGTTTACTGAGAGCAGAAGCTTCGAGAGCAACAATTATTCTCTATATCTGAAAATGAATAATTATCCTATTACATACATGGACTTCACTTTTATAGTGACCCGGAAAGATGAAGAAAATACAAATGAATGGGCTTCTAACTCCTAATCTGTACATTTGGGCCAAACTATAAATACAAAGAATGAAAAATCTACAAGGTCCAAAATATTAACCAGCATCTAATTTGCCAACCCTAACAACCCCCCTCAAGTTGGAGGGTGACAAAACCCCCAACTTGCGACTGTGTAAGTGATGAGCAGGACCAGGTAGAACCTTGGTAAGTAGATCAGCAGCTTGAGAGGCACTATGAGTGTGAACCAGAGAGATCAGCCCATCTCCAAGTTTGGCACGCACAAAATGACAATCCTGTTCTATGTGCTTCGTCCTCTCATGAAAGACAGGATTTTTTGCAATGAAGAGCAACTTGGCTATCACAAAATACAGGCACATAAGAGGAAAGAAGTACACCAAAATCAGACAACAACCTGGATAGCCAAGTAACTTCAGTCACTGCCTTACTCATAGCTCTGTACTCGGCCTCTGCTGAGGAAAGAGAAACCACGTGTTGCTTCTTGGATTTCCAACCCACCAAACTGCCTCCAAGGAAGATGCAGAACCCAGTGACTGATCTCCTACTGTCAGGGTAGGAGGCCCAATCATTATCACAGAACACCTGTAAGGACATAGCAGGATCATTGTTGTAAAAGATCCCAGAATCAGCTGAACCCTTAAGATATCTGAGAAGATGAAGAGCAGCCTTCATGTGTGGTATGCAAGGCTGCTGCATAAATTGACTCAAATGTTGGACTGCAAAACTGAGGTCAGGTCTTATATGGGTCAAAAAAATCAGCTTGCCTAAGAGACTTCTATACTCTTCAGGTTTAGGCAAAAGTTCACCTTTCTTGGCCTTCAACTTCACATTCAATTCAAGGAGACATGTGATAAGGGTACATTCAAGAGAGTGAAACTCATCTAAAAGGTCATGAATAAATTTCCTTTGATGCAGCAAAACCCCAAAAGAACATAGAGAACTTTAATACCAAGAAAATAGTTAAGGAGACCTAAATCCTTGATCTTGAACTGATCATGAAGAAAACTCTTCAGGGCAAAAATTTCAGACAAATCAGTACCAATTAGGATAATGTCATCTACATAAACAGCCAATATAACCAAAGAAGCCCCAGATCGCTTAGTGAAGACAGAATAATCATTGAGAGAATGCATGTAGCCTCTAAAAGAGGGAGCTTAAGACAGCTTAGCATACCATTGTCTGGAAGCTTGCTTCAAACCATAAAGGGATTTCTGGAGCTTGCAGACCAAAGAAGTGGAAGCAGGAACAGATAGTCCAGGAGGAAGCTTCATAAAAACCACTTCATCAAGATCACCATGCAAGAAGGCATTATTGACATCAAGCTGGAACAAAGACCATTATTGATTGATAGCCACAGCAATTAAGGTCTTAATAGTGAACATTTTCACAATAGGAGAGAATGTTTCATGAAAGTCAACCCCTTCCACTTGGGTGCCACCCTTGACCACCAACCTAGCCTTGTACTTTTCTATACTACCATCAGCCTTATATTTCACTTTATAAACCCATTTGCACCCAATAGGCTTCTTGCCATGTGGCAGCTCCACAATTTTTCAAGTGGCATTGGCTTCCAAAGCCTCAAATTCCTTCCTCATAGCATCTTGCCACTCAAGAATAGTGGCTACCTGGGAATATGAATTTGGCTCTGGGATATGTAACTGACCAATGGAGGGGACTAAAATGGAGTTGGAGGATGAGGACCGACAAACATAGCTATTGAGGTAACTAGGTGGATTATGTGGTCTAGAGGATCTTCTCAAAGTAGGTAATGGAGAATAAGAAAGAGGAACATAATGATCAATAGGTGAAGGAACAGGAGGGGAAGAAGCATGGGAAACAAGAGGTGAAGTAATGGGAGTTGAAGTGGGACTAGGAGCAGGATGTAAAACAAGAGATGGAGGATCAACAAATGAGGAAGAATGAGGTGGAGTAGAAGAGGAAGTAGGAGGAGGAACAGAACAGTCAGTATCAAAATAAGTAGAAAGAGGAGAAGAAAGAATGTGAGAAGGCTGATCAGAAGCTTTGAAGAATGGAAAGATGTGTTCTAAGAAAATGACATCTCTAGAGATGAACACTACCACAAATTTGATTATTAGTGATGAATTATTTTGTCACCTAAAATTCATATTTTGTCACAAAAGGTCTTTGGTGACAAAAATTATTTTATCAATCTTTCATCCTTAAAACACCGTCACCAATAGTAAACAAAGACAACTTTGTGCTTCAATCACTAAAAAAAAGTTCTATTAACTACGAAATTATTTTTTGTCCCTAAATTAATAGAATTTATGACGAACTTGTTCGTCAAAAAAAGTATAAAAAACTCGTAGTTGATAGTGCATTTTCGTCACTGAAAAAGTCATTAATGCCGACAAAACTACTTTGTCACTAACTATTTAGTCTAATTAGTGACGACATAAATTGTCTATAAGATTATATGTATTTCGTAGTTGAACCGTTGCAATATCGTCACTAAAGAATGCCTTTTATATACAAAAATATACTTTGCCCCTAATTGTATAAATTAGTGAAAACTCTCCTCTTATAAATAAGGTTTACAATACGTAGTTAAATTATCATTTCGTCACTAAAAATATTAATTTTACTGACAAAACAAAAACGTTACTATAAATCATCATGATTAGTGACAATTACAATAGTCAAAAATACAAAGATAATTCATTGTCAAAGAAAATATTATATATTATTGATAAGGAAATTCTAGGACAAAGTCTATTTTTTTGTCACATTTATGACAAACTAATGTCCTACAATAAAAATATGATTGTCTCAAAAAAATACAATGTAATCTAATCGGTGTTGCATCTTTTTCCTTTCTTGTGAGCTCTTTCCACTTGTTTGGAAGCGAACGAAAATTTTGAGCAGTTATTCCCCACTCATTTGACAGATCTGCTGATGGAATTGCCTTGATTGGCCTCCATTTACCAACTAGAATCTCTAATATCATCTTTTCTCCAAAAGAGTTCTTTATTTTTCAATACCCTTATTCTAGCTTGTCCACAACCTTCTTTGATTCCAGGTGAATCTGCACCTATTTATTAAAAAAAAAAAAGTCAATTCAAAATACTATTTAACATATATATTAATATATAGATATTAAAATGCAAAAAAAAAATATGGAGCAAATATATTAGTAGTAATTTCTAAATTACAACTCAACTTTATCATTACAGCTTTAACATAAGTGAAAGTTCACTGATTCCTAATATATCAACACAAAGTTTACATCCACAAACTAATCTATGTGACAGCATAAACTTTGTTTATATATACATAACTACTAACTATCAAAATGTAAGGTAAACTATATAAGCTTTCTCACATTAGAATCAAACCTACCGTAAATTGGACGAGAAATTACATGTAGTTATTGTTTATATCCTCATTCATTCATTCACTGACAAGAAAAAAAAGATACTCAGTTTCAAAAAATAAAATCCAAGCAATCCTTTAAAATATCATAAAACAAGGCATCCACTTGTATAACAAACAACTGTGATTAGGAAATAACACAGATTAAGTAGCTTGAAGGTCCTTTTTATCAAGAAGCTAGTAGGCAAATAGCTTCTGAAAATCCAAGTCTTCTTTACTTACTCATATACACATTCACTATTAAAATGTTATGCTCGTTGATGGATGATGTTGTCTGCAATATTAATACCCAACATTATAATTCACATTCACTATCCCAAGGATTCACTGTCATTATAGTTTCAGTATTTTTACCAACTCTATTCATTGTATCCAAATATCAAATAAGCAAACCACAAAGAACCTATCAATTAAGATGCAATAAGTATAGTTCTTATAAAAAAATTATCACGACCCAGATTTCTCACCCTCGGGAGTCGTGATGGCGCTTACTAATGAGAGCTAGGCAAGTCAATCCTTAACTGCTTACTTCATTAACAATTACATCTTTTAACAATTATCAGCGATAGCATGAAAGCAACAGAATTAAATAAATAAGCGGAAGACTTAAGTTTAAAGAAACTGAACAATAATGCGAGAATCAACATATGCCTCTACCCAAGAACTGGTGTCACATTACTCACGAACTTCTAAGAGTGCTAAATACAACCGTCTGAAAGAAAATATAAATTGTTTGTCTCGAATATATGAGATAACAGACGGAAATAAAAGATAGAGGAGACGTCGGGCCTACGAACGCCTGCAAGGCTACCTCAGTGTCTCACTGGACTGAAGGCTGGCTCCCGCGCTACTGCTGATGTCCAAAACCTGGATATGTGCAAAAGATCACAGATCGTAGTATCAGCACAACCGACCCCATGTGCTGGTAAGTGTCCGGCCTAACCCCGGCAAGGTAGTGACGAGGCTAGGACCAGACTCCAGATGAACCTGTACAGTTATATAATATATGGCAGAAAAGTAAACAAGTAATAAGCAGTTAAAGCTGGGGAAGGGGAACATGCTTCGGGGATAGCAGTTAAAAGAAATAACAGGAAATAATAAGGAAGCTAGCACTATAACTTCTATCACAAATGAAGAAAAATAAAGGCAACTTTCACTTTCAATTTCCTCTTGTTGCAGGCGTGCAACCCGATCCCATTTCTCATATCTCGTGGTAGGCGTACCACCCGCTCCCATTTCATTCTATCTCGTGGTAGG